GGCTTACTAGTTCTATCATAATTCTTGACAATTTTAAAATCCACTTAGATGATTCTTTCAATATCTGAATTTCTCAATTTCTTGACTTCATCTCTTTCCATGATTGCTTGCATTCAACTACCATGTTCACATCCTGGAACTTATGTAATTAATTACTGTACTGTCTCCAATACTGTCATTTTCAGTCACCTTACTCATTTCAAACTCCCAAATTTCTATTTCTACTAGTAAATAACTCAAACATATCTTCAACCATACTGATTTTTACAATCATATCATTTCTTCACTGTGTCAACCTCCTTTATTTTCTCACTTTGTTCTTTACCCCGATTACTTTCCATGTGCCCTCTTTATAATCATTCCCTTGAATACATAAATACCTTTTCCCTTCTGTCTGCTGTATTCACCTAGAAAAATCACACCTCTGGTTACATTTGAGCTGGTGTCTACTCAATGATGCCACCTAGGCTAAACATAACTGGAGAAAAACACAAAACCATGTTCGCTGATCTCACTTAAATGAACAACCATCGACTTCAAGTGGGCACTTTAAGTACTGTCAAGCAATCCTTATAAGAGTCTGTTTTCTCTCTCTCTTTCCTAAATGACTATTTTACACCTTTTCTTTCCTCAATCCAACACTTTTTCCCAACACTTTTCCCCTCTTCTTCATGACCTTGCTTCCTATTTCACTGACAATAAAACTTTAAGACATCCTATTATATCTACCAACACACAAATACTTAGACCTACATAATCTTTCCTTTCTCCATATTATTAATGAGCTGTTTGCACATCCATCTTTAAACTAACCCTTCTATCTGTACACCCCATCTATGGCTCCAGCAATATCCCTCTCCTTTCTGCATTTCCCCCCACCTCTACTGGATTAGTCTTATACAAACCTGCCATGTTCACGATCTTTATAAAACAAACAATATAAAAAGCAAAAACCTTCTTGATACTATATCCCCCTGCACTCACAGCCCATTTCTCTATTGCCCTTGAGAGCAAGACTCCCTAAAAGAGCTGTCTTCGATTCTCACTATAAAAAATTCTACCATTCTCTTGAATACCTCCTCTCACTCCTTCCATCCAACAAATCAGTTTGTCAAAATCAAGGGTACAAATGTTGCTAAACCCAATGTTCAATCCTCAGAACTCATTTTTTTTTGCATCATCAACAGATTTATTTGATCATACCTATCTACTTGAGATACATTCTTTATTTGGCTTTTACTTATTCATCCCATCTTCTTTAATGGTTCCTTACCTAACTGGACACTTAAACATTAACATGTTACAGGGTTCACTTCTCCACACTTCTAATCTCTATCATTAAAATTCTCGTTTTCCTTATTTCGCAATGCTATGAATAAAGGGGAAGACGCTGTGATTCACAATAGCATTCCAACAAAGACCTGAATCTTTGGGCAGTGACTCTAAGGTGAGGCTGTTATCACATACTCACAGGAGAGTATCAACAAGAACAAATTAAATACAGGCATAAATTTTATTGCACTTTGCTTTATTGCACTTTGTAGAGATTACGTTTTTTACAAATTGAAGGTTTGTGGCAACCCAGAATCGAAAGTTTATTGGCTCCATTTTTCCAATAGCATTTGCTCACTTTGTGTTTGTGTCACATTTTGTTAATTCTTGCAGTCTTTCAAACTTTTTCGTTATTATTATATTTGTTATGGTGATCTGTGATCAGTGATCTTTGATGTCACTACTGTAACTGTTTCGGGGCTCCACGAACCATGCCCATAATATAATAAGATGGCGAACTTTATCAACAAATGTTGTGTGTTCTGACTGCTCCCCCGACAGGCTGTTCCCAGTTTCTCTCCCAATCCTCATGTTTCCCAACTTTCTGAGACACAATACCAAAATTAGGCCAATCAACAACCCTACAATGACTTTTAAGTTTTCAAGGGCTAGGAAGAGTTACTTGTCTTTCACTTTAAATCAAAAGCTAGAAATTAAGCTTAGTGAGGAGGCAATGTCAAAGGCTGAGATATTATACTAGTTTCAGGTGTACAGCATAATGGAAGACATTTATATAATTTGTGAAGTGATCCCCCCGATTAGTCTAGTACCTACCCGGCACTATACACAGTTATTACAATATTACTGACATTACCTATGCTGTACTTTACATCTCCATGACTATTTTGTAAGTACCAATTTATACTTATTAATTCCTTTACCTTTTTCATCTGGTGCCCCCAACCACCTTCCCATCTGGCAATCATCAGTTTGTTCTCTGTATCTATGAATGTTTTTGTTTTGTTTATTCTTTAGATTCCTTATCTAAATGTCCAACCACTACGCTATACACATGAAACTAATATAAAATAATTCAAAATGTCAGTTGTAATTCAAATTTTTAAATAAATAAATAAAAATTTAAGAAAGGCATTTTAACATGTGATTTAATTTAATCCTGAAACAAATGGTATGAGAAAGAATATTATCTTCATGATATGAATGAGGAAATAATTTGAGGAGAACATATTACTCAAGGTCATCTATTTTAAAAAGTGGAATTGTATTTGAATCCTGGTGTTGGGATTTCAAATCAAACTTTGCACTATCCAAATAAAAAAACAAAAAAAAAAAACAAAAAAACACAACAAAATAGGTGGAAAGCTAGGTCTCTTGTGCCAGTTAGCCAAGTTGTGAATGTGAAAGAAAAGTTTTTGAAGGAAATTAAGTGCTCTTCAGTGAATAAACAAATGATAAGAAAGCAAATATGCAGAAAGTTTTAGTGGTCTAGACAGAAGATCAAACAAGTCACAACATTCCCTTAAGTGAAAGCCTAACCCAGAGCAAGGCCCTAACTCTCTTCCACTCTATGAAGGCTAAGTGAGAAAACTGCAGAAGTTTTTAAGGTAGACAAAGCGGTCTTATATTGGAAGATGATGACATATAGGATTTTCATAGCTAGAGGAGAAATCAATGCTTGGCTTCAAAGCTTCAAAGGACAGCTGACTCTCTCGTAAGGGCTAATGTAGCTGATCACTTTAAGTTGAAGGCAATACTCATTTACCATTCTGAAAATCCTAGTGCCCTTAAGAATTATGCTTAATCTACACTGCCTGTGCTCTGTAAATGGAACAACAAAACCTAGCATGACAACACATCTATTTACAACATGATTTACTGAATATTTTAAGCCCACTGTTGAGACCTACTGCTCAGAAAAAGATTCCTTTCAAAATATTACTGCTCACTGACAATGTACCTGGTCATCACCCAAAGGAGATGTATGTGATTGCTTTCATGCTTGCTAACATAAGATCGATTTTGCAGCCCATGGATTAAGGAATAATTTTGACTTTAAAGCCTTTTTATTCAGCTATAAGAACAGATGACAACATGGATGGACCTCGAGATAATCATGCTAAACGAAATAAGCCAGACAGAAGAAGTTGAAAACATATCACTTATATATGGGACATAAACCTGAAAGCAACAAATGAACAGGACAAGCAGAGACTCATGGACATAGACAATAGACTAGTGGTTACCAGAGGGGAGTGGGGAGAGGGGAGGGGGGAGGGGAAAATAGATGGGGTTAAGGGGGTCAAATATATGGGGAAAAAAAAAAGACATGGCATAAGAGGTAAAAAAAAAAAAAGGCTTTTTATTTAAGAAATACATTCCATAAGGCTATTATTATTGCTATAGATAGTGATTCCTCTGATGGATCTGGGAAAAGTAAATTGACAACTTCCTGGAAAGGATTTTTCATTCTGAAAGCCATTAAGAACATTCGTGCTGCATGAAAAGTGGTGAAAATATCAACATTAACAGAAGTTTAGAAGAAGGTGATGCCAACCCTCATGGATGACTTTGAGGGGTTTAAGATTTCGGTGGAGGAACTGCAATGTGGTGAAAATAGCAAGAGAACTAGAAGTGGAGCCTGAAGATGTGATGAAATTGCTACAATCTCATGATAACAGATGAGGAGTTGCTTCTTATAGATGAACAAAGAAAGTGATTGAATCTACTCCTGGTAAAGATGCTGTGAAGATTGTTGAAATGACAACAAAAGATTCAGAATATGACAAACTTAGATGATAAAGCAGCGGCAGGGTTTGAGAGGACTGACTCCAGTTTTGAAAGGTCCATTGTGGATAAAGTGCTATCAAACGGCATCACATGCTACAGAGAAATCGTTCATTAAAAAAATCAATTGATTTGGCAAACTTCATTGTTGTCTTATTTTAAGAAATTGCCACTACAACCTTCAGCAACCACCACCTTGATCAGTCAGCAGCCATCAACATTGAATGAAGTAAGCCCATTCACCAATAAAAAGATTATGACTCACTGAAGTCTCAGATAATAGCATTTTCTAGCAATAAAGTATTTTTAAATTTAGGTATGTACATTGTCTTTTTAAACATAATGCTATTGCATACTTAACAGACTACACAGTATTGTATAATATAACTTTTATATGCACTGGGAAATCAAAAAAATATATATTTGTGTGACTTGCTTTACTGTGATAGTCTCGAACCAAACCCATAATCTCTCTCAAGTACGGTTGTATAGCAAAGTTTTCCTACTTACATTCAGTTGAAACTAATTTCACTAAGGGAACAGAATAATTTTATATGGAAAACATTTACATCTTTTGAGTGGTATTCTGAGAGATTTTGGGGGCACAAAAATTGAAGGCTAAATTAGAGCAAAAATACAAATTCTTTAAACTAGGAAAAATCCCCCACTACTAAAAACAAAAACTCATAGCCAAACAAAGCAACTCCTAAAATAATTACAAGAAATAATAAATAAGATAACTATAAAAAAAAAACAAAATTTGCAAGTACACTAGTATCCAGCTAAGAATGAATAAGGTGCAATATTTGTAATATTAAAAGAAAATTTATATTTATATTATAAAATTACCTTAATAAAGTTACATAATTTTCAAATTATACTTTCCTAGATGTGTAAAACACATTAAAAAATTAAGAATATTATTTTATTGGATAGAAAATAATTTATTATATATGAGGAAGATGATTAAAATACACATAATATATCTCCGATAAACTAATTTAAGTGCATATAGATTTAATTTTTAAATACACTTTAAAAGCTGTTACGCACAGTTCCATAGTCCAGGTTGCCAATTTCTTCTCCTCAAAGGTGGAACACACTTGGAAGATATGGAATTCGAAAGGAACCTAAAATACCATAAAAGTTCATTAAAAATAATCATGATTATAAAACAGTTCACTAGTTTAAAAATAACTAAAAGCTAAAATATTTACATTTAGAAAATTAGTGAATCATGTCAGCACAAAATTTTAATTGCCTAAGAAACACCTTATACATAAATTGATTTATAACATTAAAAAATAAAACATTTAACTGTCCCTATTGAAAAAAACAACAGCAACTTTAATACCTATAATTCTTTGTTCTTTTAGGGTAATAATGATTATTAACAGGAGTTTGAATTGTTTTCTCAGAACTAATAACAGTGGGATTTGCAAGAAGAAAATACAGAGGCGCTAACTCTTTATTTTCCTACTTATAAAAGGTTGGATGGCTAGGTTGGTATTAGGCATCTAACCATTATAATCTAACAAGTAGTATCCAAACTGGTCAGTCATAACTGCTCTAAGGGAACCTTTTTAAATTAGATTCTTGTCCCATGTCCAGAGATTCTGACTTATTAGTTCTAATATGGAGATGAGGAGTCTTTATGTATAAAAATCCTTCCTCGGTGGTTCTCGACATTGGCTGAATATTAGAATTAAAACTTTGGGAGGTTTGAAAAATCCCAATATCTATGTTGGATGCCAGACTGATAAAATCAAAACTCTGGGTGGGAAACCCAGGTCCCGGTATATTTTTTACTGTTATATTATTATTGTGTTTACTCTTAAACAGTATTTTAAAAAAGTTTCCCGGGTATTTTCAATGTGCAGCCAAGATTGAGAACCCTGTTCTGGGTGATTCTGGTCATCGACCAGTCTGGAAACCACTGTTCTTACGTATCCACCAGGATTGTTTCTTTTCACTTAATGTACTACACCCTGAGTCAACATTCTGTCTTTTCCCTCTGTTACTCTTCTTTCTTTCGTTTCATTTTGTTTAGAAAAAGAAGAGGAAAAAAATACTTCTACTTGCTCTCTATCTCAAAAGAGATTTCAATAATAACATTAACCTCAGATGTGAGGTCTGCTGCTCTTATTTGGAGTTTACATAGAAATCCAGTTATTTTACTTTTCGATATATGTGCTTTTTAAAAGAAAAAAAAAAATCCTTTCCCCAAATTTTACAACACATTATACAGAATACCTAAACCAAATATGTCATAAAACAGAACACATGTGTTACTAAATTAGGTTTAGGAAATACATAAATAGAACAAAACTAAATTCTGTATTAAAGGAAATGCACACATTCTATAAGTAAATAAATTGACCTGATTCACTAACTTTCCCTGGAAGAATTTCATAACCTAAAGGACAACATAGGAAATTTAGCAACAAATCTAAAAAAAAAAACAAATAAAAGATTTGTTCAAGCAACACTGATATTTTAGAAGTACTTCATTTGAATAAATTATAAAAAAAAATATTGCTTACTCTGAATCAATGGATGGGGGAGGGACAAAACATTTCTAAGAAAAACAAAATCCAAAAAGCACTGCCCCAAAAAGGATACAACAAGAAAGGATACTCTTTGTATGACAGTATTACAGCAGTATTCGCAGGAATGCTTCTAAAGAAGAACAGCAGAATGTAGTTTAATTTTTTCTTATTTTTCACATTAAATTTACAAATAAATGATTTTTTAAAAACACACAATTGAAAGTATTTTTTGTTAACTGTTCCACTGAGGTATTTGTAAGACTTCTGACTACTCCAATATAGACACTTTAAAACAAAATTCAAATATTCACAGTGTCTCTACAAAAGGAATAAACATTAAACAAATTTTCTCTTAGTTATATAATTTTTTCAGTTTAATACACTGGTAATTTGACCCATTTTTTTTTCCAGTTTACAAAGGCAGATTTAAAATAAAATAAAAAAACAAATATATTTCTACTCATCTTTCTTAAATCAATGTAATACAAACTTTAAAGTTTAAAGAGCTTAATTCTACCATTTTTAAATTACTTACATATGAATTAAAATTACATATTTGAAAGACAAAAGATTTCATTACACACACATACACACACACACACACACACACACACACACCACCTATGTATTTCTTTTAAGTGAGCAATTAGTAATCAGTAATACAAATTCTCAGGCCCCACCAAAGGACACCAATTTGTCTTTGGTAAACAGTTTCCCAATTTCAGCACTAAAAGTCAGGTATCCTGGAAAAATGGTCAGTCACAGGAAAACTGGAAGGGCTAGTTACCCGAGGCCCAGATCCCAGACCTAATGAGTCAGAAACTCTGGGTCAGGGGCGGGAGGAGATAGTCTAGCCATCTGTTTTATCAAGCCTTCTTGTTGATAATATATCAAAGTTTAAGAATCACTGTTTTACTAGGCAGAATAAGTAAGGACAAATACATTCCCCTTATAAAATTAATTCTCTAAACTTAACTTTTACATACAAATGGGTTTATTCTGTAGTTATAATTTTGAAGTTTAATGGGAATTAACTGCATAGTTAGACAGAGACAGAGATGGGTAGATGGATGGATGGATCCCATTGAGTCTTTAAAAACCTTAAGAGATATCTGAATTACTACTCTATTCCTTAATATTATCTAAAAAAAAGTTGCATCCTTTTATTAATTTATATCCGCACTTACCTTACTAATTTTTAACACTTTCTTTTTCCTTCTTTAGAATCTTGTTTTGGTCTAGCAGATCGAGCAAACTGCTAATATTTAAAAATTAAGGTTTCCTTCACAAACATGAAAGTAATCTTTTTTAAGTAATTATCAAGACCTTTCTAATGTTGGGCAGGAGTACCATTTTTTAATTTATCTTTCATATTTATCTTCCTACTCTCAGACACATGTCAAATATTTTTCCAAGTGCCTCCTATCTACTATCTACTCTGGGGGAGAAATTAAAAATTTACCTTTTCTTTACAGTAAATATTTTTTACACTTAGACCTTCACTCTTGTCATCTATCCTGCTGTCTAGTTTGCAAATTGCATTAACTACTAAAAGCAGAATGGTTAATCAATGATATATTTTGGTTATGGAAACTCTCAGATACAAATATGAATTACAATAAAATATAAAATAATAAAGCTACAATGAACCATATCCTTTTTCAATGGCCTCAAATGTATTTCTGGATACTGTAGTCTCAGGCGTAGCATGAGTATGTAATTTTGTGCTATGTTTAGACTTGGCTTAATTTTAATAACCACATGCTGCTGAGGTTCCTTTATCTCCCAATAAAAATCTGAATAACACTCATCTGACTTAGCTAAGTATGTCTGTAATTGATTATGTCAAGTTATAATTCCAGTTGTTGAGATTTCTAAAGGATAATAAAAATTAGTTTCAATTATACCCTTCCCCAAAAAACTACATAATCTTTGGAACAGACTGATATAAAGGATACAACCACCATAGGTTTTCCAAAAAGAACATATCCATTAGCTTCCTTTAAGGCTTTTGCTGCTGCTTTTTCATTTGGAAGTCCAACGAAAGCTTGTCCTTTCATGCGACCTTCTTTCATCAAGCGTATATCAAACCTAGAAGTCAAGGAAGAGTGGTTTTGCTTCAAAGATTGCCAAGCAATTTGATGAAATGAATGGAAATGTGATGAAAATTTTAAATTTTGCCATTTCAGAGCAAAAAAAAAAAAAAAAATGACTATACAATCTAATTAGCACAGTGATTACTCAGAGCTTTCTAAAATTGTATTTTATATTTGGTCTAAAATGGATCCTATAAGTATGTAAAGTAAATTTGATGATGTGCTTATATCTTTTTTTTAGCTATTTTACATGTATTTATGTGATTTAAAAATTATATTACTAGCAGCTATAAAAGCAAACTTCTTATGTTTTTATTTCAGATCTCTATTTTTAAAAAATTTCATGCAGCAAATTCAATACTATCTACTCAAGTGATAAAAAGAACTATAAAACCAAAAATAGAAGGTCAGACAAGGACCACTAAAAAGTAACGCAGAATTTGAGTAAGAAGGGACTTATTGATCATCTAGTCAAAATCATTATTTTATAAGTGATGCCTACAAAGAAAGTCATTTCAGGGTCAGACAGATAGCTAAAGTTAGACACAGAAACACAAATCAGATTTCTTTATTCCAAGTATAGTGTTCTGTTATTCCATAGTATATTATTTTTCAACATTTTTGATAAAAATTTATATTTAAAACTCTTCAGAAAAATAAGACTGTAATTTATAAGCGCTGCCTACCATTTAGATAGTCTATATAGGACTAGCTAAAATATGTAAAGCATTAAAAAATTCAGCAATCTTTAAAAAAAATTCACATGGCTAGTCCCATGGGAAACAATTATTAATTTATCATTTTGTCATGTACAGTACAGCTTTCTCAATATATAATTATTTTTTCCCATCAAATTCTAATTGCAGGCAATACTGGAAATAGAAAGAATGTATACACATACACATATAAGTATTTATATACATAAAATTTTTTTATATGTAGATATATTTTTTCTTTTCCTTATAATCATGACTCAAAGGCAGCAACATGAAAATGGACCAGTGTTTTCCATGGCCAGCAAAAGAAACGTTTGATATCCTGATAAAAAGAGATATCTGCCACAAAGGAGTAAAATGGAGAATTTTAAGACATTTTAGACATGCTATCTAAAAAGGTACATAGGCCAGATAAGCCTTTAAAAGTACTGGTTTCATAAGATGATTAAAATACAATTAGCTAGTTAAAGTCACTCCCATTTCATCTCAACTCAAGTCTCTCTCCTTACCTTTACTAGTTATCCCTACTTCTAATTTATATGGCCCAGGGTCTTACACATTTTGGAGTTAAATAATTATGAAATTTCAAAGAAATTTCTCTAAACATTAGCTTTTATATCATTTACAAATTGTCTCTCTCTCTTCCACTCTCACAAAATTGGGAGCCTTGCCTAATGCAGTCCAATTAAAAGAAGTTACTGCCAGGGTAAGAATCTAAAAAATTTTGCTTGACTGCCATAGATTACTGGATCAGATATTAAAACAGTAGTTTTCAAAGTGTAGTCTTTGGATCTGCAGATTTGGTATCATATATGAGCCTTTCAGAAATAAAAATTTATGGTCCATACCTCAACCCAGAAAAACAGACTATCTGGGGATGGACTTACAAAACTGTTTTACTAAGATCTTCAGGTGATTTTTATGCACGTTAAAGTTTGAGAACCACTGCTCTAGAGCTGCAGATTGAGGCTGGAATTTATGAGGCCTGTTTCTGTAAATAGTTTTACTAGAACTCAGCCATTAATATTTGTTTATGTTTTGTTTATCGCTGCTTTCATTCTACAAAGACAGAATTGGGTTGTTGAAACAGATATTATATGGACTGCAATAAATAAAAGTATTGAATTTTTACTATCTTTCCATTTACAAAGAAGGTTGCTGATTCCTGATCTAGACATCTAAAAATTTACACAATACATAAAAGTAATTTCTTCATATAATTTTTATCTCTAAAGAAAAAATGTTGGGATAAAAAAGGGTTACTCTGTAACAGATAAAAACAAAACATAATTTGAGAATATGACTGCCACTTACATTATCCGTTCTGTTTCTGATGAAAAGTCAACATATCTTCCAAAAATAAATTTAAGGTCCTAGAATTTCAACAACAACAAAAAAAGACAAATAAGGAGGTCCAGTAAAAACAAAAAGCAAAACATAAAAAAATTTATTTATAAATTTCAACTTACCTTTTCTTGAACATGTTTAGCTAAATTCTTTACATAAATTCTACAGTTTGGTTCACCAGGTTCATAACTTCTGAAAACCGAAAGTGTTTCCATTTCTTATTTAAAAACAAAACAAGGATATAAAATTTAGACATTTTCATCACCTAAAAAAAATCCTATACCATAATAACTGTTAAACAGACAAAATAAGCATTATAAAATTATGAAAACTAAGAATAGCAATGTTACTAATGGGATAAAAGTACCAATTAAAAACCTGAACTGATAATATAAAAATTAGTTTAAAAATTGTAGGCATTTAGAATAACTAAAATTTATCCAATAAAGTATCTATTATTAAAACTCCTTTAAATGAGTTACTTTATTAAAGACTGAAGCAAATTAATATGTTATCAATCATTGGTGTAACTATTTTGCTTAAAGTCAATTTCCCAAAGCACCAGGCACCAACATATTAAAACCTAAGAATGAAGTACTCAAACATAATCATCAAGTATTTAGGATTGTGGATCCTGAATTCCTATACAGCTACTCCTATATCATGTCAATAATATGTTCCTGATAATGGCTCCTGACAATGTTCCTACAAAAATGCTCACTAGAAGCCTATTTCTCATTATTATGGAAAAAATTATAATGTGTTACATGTCAATCTAAAACGCCAAATTATTTTCCTAAAATTTACAAAATCAGAAAAAATCCTTTAGAAGTAAAAAACTATGTTAGAACATAAAATCTTTAAACAAAGATTTCTAATCACCAAATAATTAAAATTATTATTTTTAAACAAACAATTGCTTTGGATGAATCTCAGACACAGTACTGTGGTGGTCTGTCAACTGGAATTTAGAACTCCAAAGTGTGGGCCACATTGCTTTGTTTAAGGTGTCAGTCATATAAAAGTATTAGGGATAAAAACGAATTTTTTTCTAAATAAATATGGATTGAAAACATTGTATTGAAAGATACTTTCCTCTCTAGAAATATGAATACTAAGAATCAAAAACATTAAGTGAAGAGATGTTTTGAAGTATGTGCCTTATGGGTAAATCACATGAGGAATTTGTTGCTTTGTTTCTGAAGGGTCAAAGAAACATAAAATGGAATAAATGCTGATTATTTCATGAATTTACCTTCTCTAGAAATTCTGCCCTTTTCCAACTCCCTTCTAGAAATACATTCTGATGGCATTTCATCAGAGTCTTCTTTACTTTCCTCTGCGATGTTCAAATTAGGTTTTGGGAAGATTTTTCCAAATCCTATACTGGATGCATCGATTTCAGTAGCAGGTAAATCTAAGAGTTAAGATTAATAGCAGCCATTAAAACTCTCTCCCTTCAAAACCATTTTAGTGTACCATTTTTAATTTTTGAGGTTATCTATCTTTTGGCGCTAAAACCATGTGGTGTTTTTCTCAGTATTTTAGAACACAGGTAGATACACTTTATCTGTTAAGGTGCAAATAGTAAATATTTTAGGCTTTGCAGGCCATACGGTTTCTGTCATGGTTATTCAACTTTGCCACTGAAACATGAAAACAGCCATAGATAATAGCTGAACAGCCAAACAGATGCTCTGTGGTGCCGACTAAAGAGCCTGGAAAGTGTAAAGAAAATAAATCCATTTTCGACATATTTAGTTCATATTTAGTTTAAGGTGCCAGAAGAGCATCAAATAAAATGTTTAATAGGTAGATAGGTAGAACGTGTTTTGTGGGCAATAATCAGTATTTTGTTTAACCTACCCACTCCAACCTATTAATAATTGTGTGAAAAAATTTTGCAGTTCATTAAATAAATTATATAATTATCAAAGGTATTATGCTAATGAAAGGTGGTCATTCAAGATTATTTATATAAAGATTTCATAGAGCTATATCAGAATACTGAGAAACAACTATCAACCTTTTCTAAAATGATTAAGATTAAGATTAGCACATTATGCTACAATAAACATCTTAAAATAAGATATTCCTTTTTGAGGATACTAAAAAATCTTTTAAACTTCCACTCAGCAAAAAGAAAAAAAAATATTAATCGTGGTCCTACAAGTAAAGAATTATCTGCATATTTTAATTACATACTCATTAGAAAAATTAAAAACAAAACAAAACAAAAACAAACCTATAATCAGACCTGTGGCCTGCAGATATCAATAAGAGAAAAAATTAAATTGCTTCTACTGTTATTACAGTCTTACTATTTGACATTGATGTAGAATGGAATGACTGTCTCCCTTTCATCACAGGTCTAAGCCTTTGTGTAAATTAAGCTTAAAAAAATAAAAATTTGTGTCAAAGAGTGACTAGCCATGAGATAAAAAAGAAAATGTACAAAAAGAAAAAATATTGAAACAAACAAAAAAGGAGCTATGTGAAAAGGTAATATATTTTCACTAACCATTAGAGACAGGAATTGAAATAGGTTACAGTTTTTCTACTCACTACATTTGCAATACTTACTAGAACTCTATCCTATATTCATACCAGTGCTTAGAGATATATGTACAAAAATGTATGTTCTAGTATTTTCAGTAATAATAAAAGAAATGGAAACAATCTCAACTTCTATCAACAGAGCATGATTAAATAAAGATTGATATAACTATTCTATGAAGTACTATGCAGCCATAAAAAGTAAAATGTATATTTTTATGTTCTGACGTAATAAGCTACTCTCACTAGAGTTTAAACTCCAAAATATCAGTCACCATGTCTAACTTGTTCTTAGGGCCTCATTACTGAGTCAGTGATGAACACTATGTAAAATATGATGCCCATTTAAAAAAAGAAATAAGAGAAAACGTGTTTACACATGTATAGAATTAGGCCTGGAAGGTTATCTATAAACCAAATTATTAACAGTAGGTATTTCTAAGTACTGGAATAGGGGACAGTGGGGTTTGAGGTGTTAACTTTAAAATTTTTTACTTTATATGCTCCTGTTTTGATTACATTTTCTGTAAGCTTATATTATTTCAAAAATTAAGATTTAAACAATAAAGGAATGCCTTTATATTATAAAACCAAAGTAATGCCTAAAATAAGCAGAAAAACATCTGTAATTTCAATAAATTATCTTAAAACTTAAGAATAGTATATTGGTAAACAATCTTCCATGGTCAATAGATGAAAAACATTTACATAAAACCTATAACTCACGAGTTATACTGCTTGCTTTTTTAACCAATAATACAATCATATTAATAAAACCACTGAATATAACATTTAACACGCAATGAAAAAATAAGTCAATACAAAAAACTCTTCTATTTTTAGTGTAAACATCAACAAAAACCAGTCTAAATTTCAGCCTACACTTCTTTACAAGCAAAAGACAATACTGACAACCTCACTGTTAAGCACATTTTAATTACATAAAAAAAAGTTCAAAGTGCACAGTATTCCATGATATTGAGGTAGACCTAACTGCATATTTTAAATATAGTTTACGAATACTAAGATACAAAAACATTACATATAAAATTTAATTCTAACACAAAAAGTTGATTGAGCATTTTTACATAGTACATTAAAGAAGTAGAATATGCTTACCACAATTTTGTTCTTCAAAATTTTGCTCCTTTTCTAGATCTTTCTTAAATGCAGCTGGCATGTCAGTAGATATGTGAAATTCAATTTTTTTATTACCTACAGGTTGTGGTTGATCAAAAACATCCGAAGGTAACAGCACTGGATGTAAACTGCTGTTTATAAACAATCACAGCATTACTTTATACTGCAAATCAAATTCTGACTAAAACATTTCATATTTATTTTAAATTTAAAAAGCTAACACTGATAAAGTACTCACAACACTAAAGGTGCTGCACAAAGTAACTTACATTTAATAATTCAATAAACCCTAACAAATGTTCTAATATGAGTACTATTAAATTCCCAGTTAAAATAGATAAGGAGATTGAAGAGATGTTAAGAAATTGCATAGTCACTCAGTAAATGACAGAGACAGTACTTGAATACTGAACCTAAACTTCAGGATATTTACCAATATGCCAAAAAAGTTACTCTATATTTAATATAAGCATTTTTATGCACTGTATTCTATATATCATAATGCTATGATGTCCAATAGAGTAGTCACTTGCCTCCTAAGGCTAATGAATACTTGAAATGTTGCTGTCCAAATAAAAATGTGCTATAAAATACACAGCAGACTTTGACAACTTTGTACAAAAAAGGTAGACCATCTCAATAACTTTTTATATTAGTTATATGCTGGAATAATATTTTGCATATAATAGGTAAAATAAAATATATTGAAATCCACTTCATGTTTCTTTTTATGCTTTTAATGTAGCTATTGAAAATTTTAATTTGATTCATTTTATTTTTAATTGTTCAGTATTGCTATAGAGATTAAAAGCTATGTGTCAAAACATATACAGGTGGGAAACATACATCATATTTACACTTAACGTGAAATTAAAAAGACAAAAAGATTAAAGATTCATTCCTTTAAAAAGATAATTTTAACAAACTCCTTTCTCAATTTATTAAGTTATAAGTTCGAGGAAAATTTATACTGTAGACAAACTAAATGAACTTAAAATTGCAATTTTATCCAATTAAGATATTAAAATATGTAGAATTCCACAGCAAACAGGCAAGTAAAATTTCTGCCATAATTGCTTTTAAATAATGTAAGATGAGCAAGCAGACAAGTACATACAGAACTCCTATTTCATAACCCAAAAGAAAATTACCTGTGTGAAACAGATGAAGGTGTATTCAGCATATCCTTTATTTTTTGCTTTTTTCTCACACGGCGCTGCTTTATTGTTTTTGGTCTTTTAGGCTGAAGATTTGCTAGTTCCATTAGTTTGGTCATTCTACATTGGGGGAAGTGAAGGTAAAAGATTTCCTTATGTAGAAGCATGGCTATTTACTACTGTTTCTATTACCCTTAAATATGTATTTCGGCTTATAAATCAGAAAATAATTTGTATGGCATAAGTGTAGTTTCTAAGCCATCAATTAAGATATAAACAATTTGACAAAAGAACAAGCTCTAAATCTCCTTGTTCAATTTTCACTTTACTTTGAAGGAATTGAGAGTTTACTTAATTGAAATGTACCTTTTAAAGATAAATTCTATTATAAAAATTATTAGTTGACCAAATAAAATGGCTGGACATGATGTCAAAAAACTGAACATGGTACACTAATACAATCTATATAACTTTATTGCTCTTTTCTTGACTGCTCTTCAAAAGGCCTCACAAACACGGTAAAATTATTTTGATTCATATTCTAATTATTAAAGGGAGCCTGAAGTATTATTAAAAACATTTTGTACATAATTGTTGCAAATCAGTCATTACAGAAACAAGTAACTTATTTGAGAACAAAGTTTTCAAATAGTATATTCTGAAGTAGTTTATAAGTAACAATCAAGGTGTGAAAACTGATACCCTGTACAAAGCTTATTTCCATTTTGAGTATAAGTAATATTTAGACTAGGTCTTGTCTAGGCATTTTCATATCTTCCATAAGATCAGACACAGAGAAGCTCAAAAACCAGTAGTTACAACTCTACCTCCCCATAGTTACATTTGTGCAATTTAAAAGCAAAACAAACACACACACAGTAAAATGCAGGGAAGGAAAAGTGTGCTTAAAATAAATTTTAAACAATTTTTTCTAAGCAAGGAAAAATGTAAATATAAACTGCGAATTTTTAAAACCTCTTAACAACTATGGTTTATCAAAATTTTTATGACTAAATCCATTTACACAAAACACAGGTCTATATTCATAAATTGCTCATCCAAACTACACAAAGTCTCTATGATAGTTCCAGGTATACATTTGGTAACCAATAAATATTCACTGAATAAATAAATAGACCATTCTTTTTAACATTTCCAGAAGATAACAGAGAAACACAAAACCAGAAATTGGTTCATTTAAAGGCTTTGTTCTTATGACTCAAGATAAATTATTTGCAAAATGTAAACATAATAAAAAAAAAAACAGAAACAAACGAAAAAGTTTTTGGCCACTCTAAGTAAAGCATTTTTATTTGCTACCATTACTTTTATAAAGAAAGTAAAATTTACAGAGGATAAGTAATTAAACCAACGCGACACTCTATACTGTTCTTTAACAACAAATGAAAGTTAGTCTATCAAGAACTGTCAGCCTTTCTGAATGTCTCTATTCAAACACTCTATTCATCCCTATTATGTAATTTCAGTCCCACTTACACTTTGATTTTAACTCTCCCTAGAAAGAGAATATATATATTGAGCCACTACTTAAGTGAATGTTGACTCAATAATAGTCAAATTGCTAATTATTTGTATATGTTGCCCAGATTCTCTGCTTGGGTTCTGACATGTCAATCACTCCTGTATCTGCCTTCTTCTATGTATAGTTACTTATGATTCCCATCATTTGCCCAAACCGGTCTTCTAGGCCCAAACCGGTCTTCTAGGCTAGGGACTGGCAAACTGAAGCTCAAGGACCAAATCAAGCCTGCTGCCTGTTTCTGTAAATAGAAAGCTTTTTGGAACACAGCCACATTCCATTATAACAGAAATCTTTGGCACTATAGAGAAAATGTTCAGCAATTCCTGTTCTAGGCTACATTGTGGATCAGATATCTGAACGCTATTAACAACTTACTGCTCTTCACTAGAATCTTTAAGTAAAATATATGTAGATCATCAAAAATAACCAATTAAAAAATGCATCTGCAGTAGTTACTATAGTTTTTTGTTAATGAAATCCTACAGAATTGCTCTAGAAATTTCCTGAGGTAAATAAAGTCCAAGGCAATAAGCTGGAAAAAATATTAATACAATCTAGTATTCTTGTTGTTGTTTCAGATAGTTATATTCTATAAAGTCTCCATAAATAAAAAATTAGTAAATAACGAATCATTGCCCCTAGGGGAAATTCGGGATTAGGTTCTTACAAGCTTCAGCTCAAACAACTGATCGATACACATCTTGTTATATGTGTTTCTGTTTAAGAGAACATTATTTAATATATACTATTGATTCATTAATATTGAACTTAAGTCAACAGCACTGTAACTCATACCTGAACAAAGCTTATCTAACACAACTTATTTTCTCCATAAGGCACATCACAGCATTCTTGATCTTGGAAAAGTTAGATAACACTTCAATATTATGCTTGGGGATCATTTTTTAAAAACAGCAAAATCATCAACAAACAGCACAAAAATGTGAAAAACATGGGACTAAAGAGATCATGAAAATAACACTTGTTTTACAGTATCAGGGTTGAAACAAGGTGGCAGAATTTCACCTGTTTTACCTCATCTAGAAATGTGCATGTCAAGCAACTCAAATTTTTCACCATTCTGTACATGCCCATGTACAAAAGCAACTCAAATTTTTCACCATTCTGTACATGCCCATGCACAAAAGACCATAAAATCACTGAAACTACTGATTTTGGAGTCACAGATAAATTATAGTAAGTAGGCAGTCACAAATACAGAATTCACAAATAACAAGTATCAATTGTACTTTATAATACCATAATCATCAATCTAAAAAATTACTCATAATCCAAAAAGTTTTCCTTAGGTCTTAATATCTGGTCTCCGGTCTTAATCTAGAGCTACTATATATGCTTGAGGGGTGGGGGCTGGAGATGGACAAATTAAAATGTCCTCAAATTACAAAGAATTACAGCAAAATTTAAGAAGAGCAGGAAAATCTCCTTTGCATATTCTATGTTCCTTGGGATTTAAACAAATATTATTTGAAATTACAAACCTCTGTCGGTCTTCATCATCACTGCTTTCGTATTCTGATTCTTTACTAGATAATTCCTCATCCTCATCTGGCAAAGGAGGTTCTTCTGGTGGCTGAGGAGATGCAGGTGGGAGAGGTGCATGCAATGGCATATAGTCTTCATACTAATTTAAAAAACAAACAAACAAAAATTTATGATTTTACAGAATAAATCATTTCCATTCAGATACATGATTCTCACCTCTCTCTACCTCATGATCCTTTTTTATACATTATAACAGATTCAAGGAACACCTGCTGTAGCAGACTAGTAGCTGATCTAAACACTTGTTTCTTCTTCCTTGGCAACTAGCTGGACTAAATTTCCAAACCTCCCTTGAAGTTAGATTTCACCATGTAACTGAATTTTTTAGCCAACGGAATGTTAGCAAAAAAACCTTCCAGACATATTATCCTCTCTTCCTTCTTGATCTGCAGGCTTCATGGTAATGCTCTCACCACCCTAGAAATGCACAGAGTGAAGACAACTTAGGTCTTTTAAATGACTCAGTAGAGCAGAAGATAATTCTGCACCACTTTTGGAATGGACTTGACATGAGCAAGAAATAACTTATATTGTGTTAGGTGACTAAGATTTGAGGGTTTTTTGTTAACTGCAGCTAGCATAATCTTAACTAATTTTTCTGCATTGTGCCTAGAATTGAAGTGTTGGGGTTACAAAGAAAAATTACACAAAGCTAACAGTATGCACATTAGCAAAGCAGTGAATCCACAATATACAAAAGAAAAGCAAATTTTCTATGCAAATGTTAGGTTTCAAAATAATTTTTCATTGCTATTATCTAAAAAAGTATCATGGCAAAATAATAACTGGAATTATCCAAGAACAGATATAACCTATTCTTGATCAAAGGACTAAGCAACACTGGCAGAAATGACAGCTTCTATTACAGAACAAACCACCTCTTTCATGTTCTGGCTTTCTCCCACTTTCAGTTCTCCACTTGAATACTATCATTGCATTAACTTTATATTTGTATCTTTTTTCAGTGCACATTAGAGGCACAACATTTGTAAAATTTAGCCTCAATAATCTCACCTCAGCAGGAGAAATTTTGAATCTTGAAAATTCTATGAACTTTCTTACCATGGGAGGTCGTGCAGTAATTGGTCCAAAAGGTGTGGGTAAATTCATTTTATTCATAAGATGAAGCACCTTAAAGTAATAAAGCATTTAAAATCACATAGTAAAATGATGATTTGACTCATACATTTTATGTATTTAAAAACTCTGCAATAACACTATTAATTTAGTACAGAGGCCAGCCCACTTCTCACCTTTATAATCCCAGTATAGTGCTAAAACAAAGCATTGATATATCTCAGATTAGCTTTCCTAAAATGTTTGCCAATTCTAAAATATTATTATTCTCATTATTAAAATGTCATGTTCTTGCAATGTAAAATCTTCTCAAAATTTGTTTTTCCCAATTATTGTGAAACAGAGAGGTATAATAATGAAAATAAACATCATCTATATTTTGTATTTCAAAGTATCCTATTACTATCAATACTTTCAAGTATTTGCCAAGAGGTCCACTATGTCGTTTCTTTTAAGAAAAAATCTCTACATTAAAGGTTTATGTTAAAATAACAAAGAATTACCAGAAATTATTTTCCAAATTACCTCATGTTTAATAGTATTATTAATACTAAACCTAATAGTATGCCTCTGCTATAGTTTATTAAAGCATTTATTTGAATGTAGTAATATTTCATTACTTTTTGAAATGGATGAATCTTTAAGTAAATTAAAGATTTACTTAAAATTCATATATTGAAACCTAAGCCCCAATGTGATGATATTAGAGGTTGGGGACTTTGAGTAGCAATTAGGTCGTAGAGTAGAGGCCCCATGAATAGGATTAATGTCCCTTATTCAAGGGGCTCCTGAGTGCTCTCTCACACCTGCGGCTATGTGAGGACACAAAGAGAAAACACCCATCTGCAACCGAGAAGAGGGCCCTCACCAGAACACAACCATGTTGGCACCCTGATCTCAAACTTCCAGACTCCAGAACTGTGAGAAATAATTTTCTGTTGTTTATAAGCCACCTATTATGGCTTAGTTATAGCAGCCCAAACTAACTAAGACACCTTTAAAATACTGTAATATCATTGCCTGTTGGAATCAGTGTGATTATCATGAAAAAGTATGAAAATTCGCATGGAAAAATAACATCAAGTTATACAAGCATTTATTTTGAGGAAAGTAAATTTTATTCTACTTACCTGTACATAGAACTTAGGCACACTTGCCAAAGCATTTACTATGTTTGCTAGGATTGTGCTTGAAGGTGGTGGGTACATATACTTGAGGCATGAATTTAGAGGAAACGTCAGCCTAAAAAAAAAAAATTTTAAATGCTTATCATGCTTTATTAAGTTTCATATCAATAACTTGTTTTATATAACCTGATAACATACAAAAACTGTTCAAATAATTCAGTTCTCTTAGATTTACCTCGTACCTAACAGATCTAAATAAGTACATTTAAAAAGAAACTTGCCTGCTGATTGTATTAAAAAAAAATAAGGTATTTCTTATCAGAGCTTATCTTATAGCTCCGAACATTGTAATGGAACCAAATTCAGTGACAAACTCTTATAGCTCAAAATGTTAGATCAATAGATTAAAAACATATATAGCATATAAAATATCCCTTTAAAAAATTATCTTATTTGCAATTTATATATCCAGAGCAACAAGAACAAAAGAACCAAAAGAACAAAATAATACAAACAAAAAATGCTAACCCATGGTTTGGTGCAATTCCATTTTCTATAGTTAAACAACCAAGTTCTTTCTTTTCTTTATCATCTTCCACAGGGTCATCAGACCTAGGACATACAGAATCAAAGTTGATCTTATTTTTAGAAATAGAGTGAAAATTTACATACAGAATAAACATAACTTTTTAAACATGTCATTATGAAAAGCTTTATAATAAATAAACTAATGCATTTCTCAAGTAAACATCAATGAAAAGGGAAGGAAATAGAATCAGCCTTTACTGAATACTTTCTCTATTCCAGATATTATACAAAGCATGCCAAATTTTCATGTACTCTTCACAGCAACCCTATGAAGATGACATGACAGATCTTACTGACAAAAAATACTCCTTAATTTTATGTGGTATACAATATTCCAATCAAGATCTTAGAGGATGCAGCTGGTCCAATTAGTTTTTAAGAAACACTAGTGTAAAGAAAATTTGTAAAGGTTATATAACTACAAAGAATTATAGCTAGGAATCAATACCAGTCTTGGTTTCAAAGGCCATGCCTATTCATGATACCCTGCTATCTGCAATATAACAAAGACTTTATACTAGCTACTTTCCCTCCACATAAAGTCGAATGCTTTTTAGCATTCCCACTTTGCATTAATTCCTAATAGTAAATCAATACTCAGGTTCCTAATGTTCAACTAGGAACAAAAATAAATACATTGTTTTATTATACCAGATTCATTTAGAGAGATGCATCATTTATCATTTCAAATTACTTACCTGTTAGTCTGAAAACAATCCAATAGCAATACAACTTATTATAAAAGCACTTTAAAACGTTAGGAAAACTTAACTATCTACATACCTTTTCTTTTTTTCCGTGCCTGAAGAGGGACATGGTGAATGAACCTGATCTTGCTCTTTTGCAAATTCAACAACTAAAGTATGACCTAAAAGTTTCAGCTGATGGAGTCTTGTCAATGCCTTCAGTTGGAAGAACCAAAGAGTAAAAGATTTGATAACTGTACCAAAAATTATTTGTTAGAGACGATCTACAATATAATTTACACATGTTCTTTGTTAGTACTATTATCACTTCCTTGGTTATTTCTTACCATTTTAAATATCAGGCTACCAAGCTTTACTACTCAAGGGACTGCTTCATATCACTTAACAAAACTACATCTGGTTAAATCTAACTCTGCCTATACCCAGGCAGCTGAAATGGTTTAGAAAGACAAGCACCATAAACCTGTTAAGTCTCACTTTTAATTCGAAACCACAAGACTAGAGGTAGACCTTTATGATGTCACATTCTCAGTTAATTTTTATTACCAATCTCTCTGTTCTTCCACCTCACAATATTCCTTGCCCATTCTTTTAGCTTAAGACCTTGCTTCCTATTTTAAGAAGACTAAAGTAACCAGATGAGAACTTCAGATCCCCAACATAACTCCCATCTACCAGCATTTGCACCCACTCATTCTGCCTTCCATCTGTTATCATGATATTAACTATCCATATTTTAACCTAAACACAGTTGCTTGACTTGGATACTAAATCTCCATTGACCTTCTCTAGGGTCTCTCTTTCACTATCCAGAACTGTACAAGGGGTGTCCTTATCCACACTGCTAATTTTGTCCTTTACTGGATCATCCACATCACTCACTCTCTCCTTGATACATGGTCTTCATTTGCTGTCAAAATATCATACTTCCTATAGTTTTCTTCTTAGCTCACTGGTTTCTAATCCTCAATCTCTGGCTTGTGCCTTCTCAAACTCTTAATATTGGCATACTCCAGAGCTCTATTATTAGTCCTCTCTATCTAATTTCTTAGTCATCTAAACCAGCATCTTAAATGTAAATGGCATCGCTATGCTGATGATTCCATTTATAACCTAAGCCCAAACCTTCACCTTGAAAGTCCAGGAACATATATCTAAAATATTGGATAGAAACTCTTATGTCTCTCTCAAAAACGAAATTTCAGAAATGTAACTACTAATCTTCTATCCCCTTTCCCCCAAATGTTCTCCATCTGGAACTTTCCCCATTTCAGTCGATGGTGACTCCACTCTTCTACTTACTCAAGTCAAAAATCTTGGAATCATCCTTAACTTTTCTTTCCCATATTGCATATCCAAGCTATCAAGAAATCCTGTCTATCTCTACCTTCAAAATATATTTGGACTCTAACCACCCCTACTGCTACCCCTGTGGGCCAAGCAACTATCATCTCTGGACTGAATTATCACAATAATCTTTTAACAGATTTCATTTTTACTCTTTTCCATCTATTCTCAATACAACAGTCAAATGATCCTTTTAAATATTTAAGTTGGATTACATTACTGCTCTGCTCAAAATACCCCAGTGGCTCCCCATTTTACTCAGAGTAAAATCTAGGCTCCTTATAATACATACATGATATGGCATCTATTACTTCTCTGACTTCAAAGCCAATTACCTCCCTCTCATTTTGTCTGCTTCAGTCACACTGGCTTACTTAAACATGAAAGGCATGCTCCTATACTAGAGCTCTTGTTTCAGCTATTTCTCTTACTGTTATGCACTTCCCCCAGATATTCCCTTAGCTAACTTCCTTTACCTCCTTCAAATTGTTAATTATGGCCCTAACCACATTAACTGCAACTTAACCCTCCCTACCCAGCACTCCTGATCCTGTTGCTCTTTCTGTTGTTCATAGCATTTATCATTTTCTAAAATATTAAAAAAATTATTGAGTTTATTATTTATGGTCCGTTTCCCCTTTTGAGAATGTGAGCCCCAATGAGGGTATAAATCTTCGTTTTAATCAGTGAGCACATAGCAGACACCTCATATTTTTTTTTGAACAAATATAAGTATAATCCCTTAGCTGGGACTATGATTTTATTTTACCATCTTTATGCATGCTTTTTTGACTCCTTCATTATACAAAGCAAGTTTTAAAACATTTCAACAATTTTCAAGTCCCTAAATTACCTCTAGACCTCTTCACTACTACTAGTTAACCTTTGATTATCTGAAACACAGGTATGTAAGCTGAATTGCATTTTTCTTCCTTTCAAAATGGGTGTCACACGCATTCTCTTGTTTTCAAAGATTTATGGTTTTTCACTTTTAATGTTAACTAATTTCCCTATCTCAGATATTTGCTTTATTCTTAATAATTCCTCTCCCTTGTTTTATTTAAAATTGATCAGTCAATTGCACTCTAGCCTACAAATCCTGTCACTGCTCTTATCTTCTCATTCCTTCTCTTCATAAGTATTTTTCAAAGACACTGACTCCATGTACTCTTCTTCAAGTTAATCTTGACCCTAAAACAATGTGGTTTTCATTATCATATTTTATTTATAACTTAATGCTGTATTTAAACAAAGTCTTTTCTGAAAAAAAATCCTATACATTGAAAAATATATACAACCTGAAAGTCTTATTTCACCCTTGGAGAGAGACTTTTGTTAACAATTTGGTATAAAGTTCTGCCACATTTTTTTCTATGCATAAACTAACATACATACCATTAGTTTTCTAAAATCCCAAGGTTACATTATATATAATATTTTGCAACTTTGTTCATGTACTCTATCTGGGTTACATTCCTCATTAATACATATTCATTTGAACTCATTCTCCAAAAGCTGTAGTCCAGTGTACAGACATACTATGATTTAAGGTGTTCCTTCCCCTTATTGATGAGGATTTGGATCATTTCTATCGTTTACAATAAAAAGTCCTTTACTAATTGTGTTCGTTTCTCATTTTGTGTCATCAGACCATATCACCTTCTTAAAATGCTCTTCTCTTTTCATTCATGATAGTTTATTTTCTAGTTCTACTTCCTTTTTAACTTCTCTATGCCAGTCTTACTTCCTGGCTTATCTTCCTTATGGCAACCATATCCCCTCACCTAGTTGAAGAAACTCCATTTTTTTTTTTTTTTTACTTTGCCCCAACTCTAGGAGCCCATATTTTTAACTGTTTTAAAAATATTTCCACAGAAGTAGCCCACTGATTCCTCAAAGTTAACAGACTACCTTTGCAAACATCTTCTGAATCCGGCCCCTCATGTCAGCTAATGTCTTCTTACTAACTTATTCAGATCCTGTCTCTTGTCTTGGCCTTTATAACATTTCTGTTGTTCTGGCTTTCCATTTGGTCTTTCTACCTCTAATCTTTTTCTACATCCAACCCATTACATGAACTCACTGAATAGCTCAAAAGTATCAAGTGCCTTCAGAATATTTACTAAACAAAATTCAATTCCTCCCTCAACTTCCATCTAAATTTAGACTCGACCTATCCTGCAAGGCCTATTTCCATTTCAATCCATAGCTATTGCTCCACTTAAAACTTTCCATGCCCTATAGCTCAACTTAGTGTTCTACAAACTGGGAAGGTAAATTTCCCTTTGTTTTCATCTCAAATCCAATTAATGATTAAAGGTCTACATCAATGGTAACCTCCCTTGCAAATGATTCCCTAGGATTTTAAAAATACATACACATATATATTCTCCCTTTAATACTTAAAACATCTTGCCTTGCAACAGTTACAGAGATAGTTAACAATCTTTGCATCCTTTAGAACTTATTTTTAATTACATATGAGATTATAAATTGACTTTAATTTTCTTTCCAGTTTATCAACCATTCTTATAGGTAAAATCTGCTAAATAACAAACTAAATGTAGCCTGTGGGGAGAAATCTTGAAATACAAACTTTAACTTTTAAAAACTATAATTTAACATTATGTTTCATTTTTGAACCAATATTAGATAATAGGAAATTGCTAACTTAACTAGTAAAGAAAAAGTCATACCTTTATAGCTGCTTTTTCATTAGGGAAAGTAGCAAAAGCTGTATGTTTCTGAAAAAGAATTAAGATACAAATTATTTCTAATATTTTCAGTTTCTCATATGGAAGTCTGATATTTTACTAGGTAACAGTGATTTCATGCATTAATAAAATATTGGAAAAGGATGGAAAATCGAGATCATTTTAAGCTATGGCTACTAATTTCATTATAGTGGTTCTGAATCTTTTTTTGGATCAGACTTCTTTGAAGACTGTGTAGACTTTTTTATATAAAAGTATGCACACACGCACACAAAGCATGTTTTATATATACTTCCCAAAACTTCAACAGACCAGAAGTTTAAAAACCACTGCTATACAGCGGACCGCCCTTAACACACACACACAAAAAATATATCTCCCATTTTATAACACATATAAAGATCTTAAACTTTCCTCCATACAGCCAACTGCAGAGCTTAAAAATGTTCACCAACAGAAAATCATTACTCAAGTGAATGTTTTCTTTGTTTTATCTTTGTAATAAGGGTTTGATGGGAGAACCCTATTTTTAGATATAAATTGTAAATATTTTTAAAATCATCAGAAAAGGAACATAAGTCAAAAGTAAATGAATTATGCTAAGGAAGAGTTCTTGTTAATTCTTATTAAAGCATTTAAGGTCGAGTAATTACATTGCACATTACTAATTTTGTCTAATCTGATCCAAGATGACGTAATTAAGTATACTTAAACTGAATCACAGAACATTTGTATTTGCTGGTATACTGCATGTCCTTGGGTAACTTCACTTTGTTCAAAGTCCTTTCCTTATATTGTTGATGAGATGCCTGGGGAACTTAACTCTTGCTTATATCAATTAGCCTATGGTAAAATTAGATTGGTTATATCACTTAGCTTTAAGTTGCAGAACCTAGTAACAACTTTAAATGAAGACTTACTGTATGTGACACTTGGATCAAAATTGGTCTTTTTCATATCAGTAATTCTCAACTCTGGCTGCACATATAACTGGGGAGACTTTAAAAACCATTGATGTTTTGCCCCATCAAAGGCAATCTCGCAGAAACTTAACGTCGCCATTATTATTTTAATGTAAAGAAATCCTTCTAAAACATCCTCTGGTATAAAAGAAAATAGTGTACTGTGTAAATTCCTGTGTACGAACTTTAACAGCCTTAAAATATTGTTCCCCAAAGAATTCTGTCGGAAAAATTTTTATTAAGAACTCTGTCAAAAATTTAGTAGAAATTCTGTAACTTACTTAAAGTTACTACTATAAAACAGAGACATTAAAAAAAGTGTCTATTTTAATGACTGTCCTAACACTGGCTTATAAATGAACCAATATTTTAAAAAATATTGTCTTTTATTAAATATTTCTTTGAGTACCCTTGATAAATACCCCAAAATTCAGAAGAGTTTTGAGATTCTCAGGATGGGTCGGAAAAGGGTACAAAACTAAGTCATTTTCCATTCTTCTGCCTTGCCTTTCTCACTTGCCCTTTTCCGCATGGCTATGACTAATTTACACTTGAGCCAATTAAAACTTCACTTGGCACGCAAGGTATTTTGAAAAGAGGAAAGCCCCCACTACACAAGCACTACATCCCCACTCTGTTCTGTCTTCCTCTGTCAGAGCTCTCACACGCCGGGTAACCAGCCCAGGGCCTTCCCAGGAAGCTAGGGACCGGCGCGCCCTTACCAGTCGCCCCTTATCTGACAGGACGCGCACCGACTGTGCCCCAAAATACTTCAGCAAGTCCTCTTTCTCCTCAGCGGTCAGCTCTGCTGGCAGGTGCCTCACTAGAAGGGTTCGGTCACCCCGCGGCGGAGAAAGCGAAATAGAGCTCTGGCATCCTCTCGACATTGGTAGCGGCTGCTCGGGGGCCGCCATTTCCCTCGGAGAAACAGCAACGGGGAGGCCAAGCGAAGAAGCCACAGTGCAAAATGCGCTAGTCAACAGAAGCTGAGATAAATGAGTACTTTTCCGTCTCGCGCTAAGGAGTCTGGAAACAAGGAAATATCGCGAGAGATGGTCACTTTCTCGCGAGACTTGCGCCACCGACGGGTGACTCCTCTTGGGGGGCCGGTTCCTCAGACTGAGTGTGAGGTTTTACAATGATGGGAAAGCAACGTGATTTAAAATTCCAGGTAGCTGTTGAAGGTATTAAAAACGAAACTTCGCCTAGAGCGGTGTGAGCGTTAAAAAAGTTGTTAAAAAAGGAAAAGAGACGAAAGACCTCCACAGAGCGAAGGAGGCTGGAAACTCAAGGACAGAGGGGAGTCTCTTCTGCGCATGTGGGAGGGAGGAGCGGGCCTGGGCGTGGCGCCAGCGCGATTAGGTTCCTAATCCTTGCGAGTTATGAAAACTCATTTGACTGGCTGGCGAAGAGAGTAAGATCATAGGATGTGGTTTTACAGTTTGGGGATAGTAAAGCCTGAAGTTAGCAAGTTCTTTCTTCAGCTCAGTAGGGTCCATGCAGTCAGAACTCAGTTTAACGATCAAAATGTTGAGACAGAAACGTGCTTTCAGGCCGGTGTTCGTGTCACAGAATTGGTGTCCTCTGGGGAGTGATATAGTAATAAATTATATAATTATATATGTAATATATAAAATATGTAAAAATATATAAAAATATGTATTGCTCACATATTTAATCCTCACAACTCTTTTCCATTTTACACTCGAGGACACGCCGCGTACAAAGATGTTTCAGTCAGTAAATTAGCTGGGGTTTAACCTTTCTAGTGCAACTGAGCTTTACACTCTGAGCCACTAGACTGCCTAGTTTCTGAATGGAATGAGGCAGAGATATCCCAGTAAGAAAGTCAGAAATGTCTCCCTCACTCCATACAGTGATGGCCTTGAGGATTCTAGAGAGAAGTATTATTGTAGGTGCAGCTGCTATAGTCTGAATGCCTAAGGTGCATTTTTGCTCATTTTACAGTCGTGCACCTCTAAACAGATATACATTCTAAGTAATGTGTCTTTAGGCAGTTTCATTGTGTTAATATCATAGAGTGCATTTATGGAAAATTAGATGGTGTAGCTGGTTACACAGGTAACTTATATGGTATATCCTGTTGCTCCTAAGCTTTGAGCCTATATAACATGTTACTATATAAAACTACCAGAGATTAAATCAAGCGCAAAAGAAAATGATACACTTATGAGATATGGTAAACTTGAGACATATGAAGCTACTGCTGGCATAACATAGTATACTGTTTTACAGCAAACTTTTTTTATAAGTTGAAAGAATATACTCTAAAATAATGATGAAAGATTTAGTATAGTAAATACATAAACCAGTAAGTCATTTATTGTGTTATGAAGTATTATATATTATACATAATTGTAAGTGCTATCCTTTTATATGACTGGTAGCAGAGTAGGTTTGTTTATACCAGCTTCACCGCAGACGTGATTCAATGCATTGCACTGATGTGATGGCTACAATGTTACTAGGTGATAGAAAATTTTCAGCTTCATTGTAATATTATGAGACCACCATGGTACATCCAGTCTATACCAATGGAAATGTCTATATACAACACATGGCTATTTGCTCCTTGATTAGATAGATGATAGAGATATAGCAGTAAACAACACATCAAAGTTCTGCTCTAAGGAAGCATTAGTTGGGCAGCAGGGAAAGGATAGGTATTAATAAAAACTAGAAAATACATGGGGAAACCCCCTCCCCCAAATGTCAGGTGTATAGAGCCAGACCATGAGAATTCTACAGGTTTGTTTAGAGTCTTGATATCTGAAGAGCAATTAGAAACATATTTTTAGTAGGGTTGTGTGTGTATATATTTGTGTGTTGATTAAATTTTAGATATGAAATTTTCTCTTGGTTGCAGTGTGAAAAATAGGGTAGAAGCAGGAAGACCAATTGGGTTATTGCAGTAGCTCAGGCAAAAGGTCTGGTAATAGTAGACATGAAGAGAAGGAACTAGAATTGAGATATAGTTTGAAATAGGATTGATAGAATTGCAGATGAAGAAGAGTAATTAAAGATAAATTCTGGATTTTTGACTAGTACCCCAAACTAGGTAAATGATAATGCTGTTCAGTGAGCTTGAGAAAACTAAAGTGTAACTAGGTTAGGGACTGTGGTGGAGGATGGGGGAGGAAAGAACACATATTACATTTAAAGTACCTATTTAGTTTCCTTGTTTAAAGTTTCCTTGTTTCAAGTAGGCAGTTAAATATGTAAGTACAGCATTCTGGAGAAATGTCAATGCTGGATACATATGTAGCATCAAAACATAGAATATTTATATCTAAGGGTTAAAGGAAAATGTAGGTAGAGAGAAGGGGGCTCCATATTGATCCATGGGGTATGGTAGTATTGAGAATCGAGAAGAGGAAGAACCAATTAATCTTTTCTCTCTTGGCTCTTAATTCTAGTAGTAAAGACAGACTAAAACATGTAGCTAAGTAAATAGATGAGTTACATTTTGGAGAGTAATAAGTGCTTTGAGAAAAAAAAATAGAGACAGAGTAGAGCAATATACTATGATTAGATTTGGCATGTTACTTCAAATGCTATCCTGTGCAGGCTTTTCCTTGTGTCTCATGGTTAGTAAAATGATTAGCACATAGCAGACATAAATATCTGTTCAATGAATGAATGCATGAATAGATTAATTTAATATTTACCAAGGCTTCTTATGGTCAAGAATTGCTACATGGGACATCAAGATAAGTTTAATGGTCCTTATGTACTATAATTGAGATATCACAACTCGGTAGGATAGTGACATGACAGAATTTTATTTTCTCTCCACTTAATTGCTTTTAGTTGTATTCAATTAAATCTGCCTCATCCTCCCCTTGACAATAACTTAGACAGATTTCATAATTTCTTGGTCACTTTCAGTTATTTATAGTCCAAGTCAGTTTGAAATGTTAATTTTAAACTCCATTAAGGTCTCAGTTCTTACATTACCCTCATATCAGGCTTGACCTGAGGAAAATATGATTTGCTTTCATCTCGTTCATGTTTGAGTGAAGGTGGGTGTGGTCTGCTCTGGGATGTACCTTTCTCATTCTCTTTCTTGGTATATAGTCCAGAGAGTCCCAAACTTCCTCAATAATTTTTTCACATCATCCCTAGGTGACACCTTGCTTTCTTTTCTGCCTCATTTTAATAGGCACTGTTCTTTACAAAAGCAACAGCCCAAAACCTAGCTTTGCAAGAATACAACATTCTCAAAAGGAATTTGATAGGATCTAATTTTGAAATTGATCAGTATCTCAAGCTGGTAGTTCATGGAATATCTGGCCAATAGCGAGTATTGCTGTTTCCATCACATATTTTAAATATTTCATAGTACCCTTCTAAGGTATATGAGGCACTTGAGAAGTCTCAGCACACAGTTTGAGAACTGTGAAACTCTCTTTGAGTTTCGATCTTCTTTGTAGAGGGGTGAGAGGAGGGAAAGTGTGGAGGTTGGGAGTATTAGGTCATTGACCAATTGTTGGGTTTTTCCCTCACTCTGATTCTCTCTGGTTCTATCTGTTGATGGAGGCCTCTGCTAATGTAGTGTTTTAGAGTTCATCTTTATCAGATCTCTCTGTATCACTGATTACCTTTTCAGACAAGAGTAGCTATTTTATTTTTCCCCTGTAGCCTTTCCTTTGGTTTGTGTCTCCAATTGTCTTCACGTGGCCATGTGTATATTTGGATATCGTTATTACCCAACATTGGTAGCGTAGTTTCTCCAAACTCCCTATTTTTTTCACATGAAGCCAGGAGAAGTGCTGGGGCCTATTTCTGGAAGGCCTTGGAGAACTAAAATGGAGAAAGGAGTTTATACCATTTTTTCTGACTTTTTTTTGTTTTAATTTAAGGTATAATTGACATATAACATTATGTTAGTTTCAGGTATACAACATGATGATTTGATATTTGTATGCATTGTGAAAGGATAACCACTATAAGTCTAGTGAACATCCATTAACCTTATATAGTTTTTTTCTTATGATGATTTATGATTTTCTTTCAAGTATACAATATAGTATTAACTATAGTCGCCATGCTGTACATTACATTCTCAGAATGTACTCATCTCATAACTGGATGTTTGTCCTTTTGACTCTCTTCACCCATTTCTCCCACTTCTTATCCCCCACTTCTGACAACAACTAATCTGTTTTCTGTATCTATAAGCTTTTTTTGTTATTGTTGTTTAGATTTCACATATAAGATCATACAGTATTGTCTTCCTCTGTCTTACTTCACTTAGCATAATACCCTCAAGCTCTATCCATGTTGTCATAAATGGCAAGATAGCATTCTTTTTTATGGCTCATAATATTCCATTGTGTATATACTACATTTTCTTTATCTATCCATCTGTGGACATTTAGATTGTTTCCATATCTTGGCTATTCCAAGTAGTACTGCTATGAACATGGGGTACATCTTTTCAAGATAGTGATTTTGTTTCTTTTGGATAAATACTCAGAAGTGGGATTGCTGGGTCATAAGTTAGTCCTATTTTTAAGTTTTCAAAGAACATCCAAACTATTTCCCACAGTGACTGTACCAGTTTACATTCCCACTAATGGTACACAAAGGACCCCTTTTCTCTACATCTTCACCAACACGTTATTTCTTGTCTTTTTGATAATAACCATTCTAACAGGTGTGAGATGGTATCTCATTTTGGTTATGATTTGCATCTCCCTCATAATTAGTATCCATTGGCCATCTGTATATCTTTGGAAAAAAAATGTCTATTCAGATCCTCTTCCCATTTTTTAATTGGATTTTTTTGTTGTTGTTGTTAATGAGTTGTTTGAGTTCTTTCCCTGACTTCTTGTCAAAAGCATTCTCCTCTCCCTTACAGCCAAACATCTAGACAGAACCATTAATTATCCTCAAATTTTTAACCTTCCACTCACTGCAGTGGACTTTTTCAGTTCTCATTCTTAACTTCTAAGCAGCACTTGACACATTTGCCACTGTCTTTTTGAAATGCCATTTTCTCTTGGTTTTCAAAACACACCATCTCGCCTATTGTCCTAGCTCATTTTCTGTCTGGCCTGATTCCAGCAAATATTCGACTTCATATTTTCTTCTTTCTCCTCTAACCTTGAACCTTCTTCCCACCTATAGTCTTAGATGATTACCTTGTTTCTTGATCTCGTTGAAAAAAAATTGAGGACTTCTATACCCATCAATCCTACTTAACACCTGTGCTCCTTGGTTAAGCCAACCTCTCACTTGGGAAAACTCCTCATGTATACTACTGAATCATTCCCATCAGTGCATAAATATGCTATTATTTATCATTTGGTTAAAAAATTAAAGCAAATAAATAATAATAAACCTCATGTTTCCACTTATTTCTTCAGCTACTACTCTATCTCTTCCTGTTTACAGGTTTCCCCTGCTTTTCAAAAGTTTACTTTATGCCACTTGGCTTTTACAAAAGACTTATATTAGTGCCTGTTTTGCTAACCGAAAGAAATCGAAGAGGATTTTCACAAAAATAGCTGTCAACGTTTGTTTTACAATGAGCAGTTACAGAGGCAGTGCTCACTTGTAAGTAAAACTATGCTATACAAATACTATTTCTACTTTATATAGACTATATACTTATCATTATTGCTATTACTATATGTTAGTGTTATTTTAGGTTTCATGTGTTATTTGGTGTGATTTAGTAGGTATATTTTTGGTCTGGGAATGCTCAAAATTTTTTCCTATATGTATTAACAGCAATTGCTTCTTTGTTTTCTGCCATTTCAGCTTAGGAAAGGTGTCACAGGATGCTCCACGTTTGGACAGTGGGGAAACCCATATAGCAAAGTCCTGGAAATAGTGGTTTATATTTGTTGTCTCCAGTTTTCTTCTCCCATATTCTCCGTAGTCTATTTCAACCAAGTTTACAACTCTACTACTCTATGCAAATGTTGCTTTTCCAGGTCATCAGTGACTTTCACATTGCTAAATGCAAAGGTCATTTTTCAGATATTTACATTTTTTAGCTCCCTAACTTTCCTCATGTGCTTCAAATATATTTCACTAAATTGCTTATTGTCAGTCAGTACCGTCTCTGCTTCTCTGCTCTGTATTCAGAGACTGGAGACTGAAAAGTAAACTTTTCAGTATTTTAGTTGTTTGTGTAATAAACCACCCCAAAACTTAGCAGTTTCATACAACCAATATCAAAGATTTTTCCTTTTCACAAGGCAAAATTTATGTTTTCATCTCATTTATTTTTATAGTAAAAATGATTACAGATTTTATTATAATTGAGTATGTGTATAATTTCTTCATTACTGGTAAGCTTCTTGAAGACAGGAATTGCTGTATTTATTTCTGTACCCTCCAAGCATTAATATAATTTACAAAAAGATTAATGTTCACTGAATGTTAAAACATAAATTATACTCACACGAAATTAAAATACATCTTGCTGGCAACTAAAGATTACATATTCATGGATTTATATGATGACTTTAAGAAACCAGGTGGAAGATTTTATTGCAAAATTATCACTCTGGTTAAAGACAAAATGTCAGTATCTTCTCGTATTACTTATTGAGAAATGATTATGGGTGGATCTCAGCCATCATCATTTGTAGATTTATTATCTGTATAAAAACCAGCCCAAACCAAAACAAAACATTTTACGTAGCCATGAAATCATATGTCGGTATTCATATGAGGGCAAATTTTTGTCACAAGTTTTCAGAAAAATAAACCTTAACATTTATTCAAATAAAATATAAACATGCCTTTTAACTGAGCAATTCTGCTTTTCAGAATCTGCATTAGTCAGCCAAGCTGCCATAACAAAATACCATAAAATGGTGGCTTACACATAAAAATTTATTTTCTCACAGTTCTGGAAGATAAAACTCCAAGACCAGAGTGTCTGCATTGTCAGGTTCTTGTGAGAACTAAGAAAGAGACAGAGACAGAGACAGAAACAGAGACAGATCTGGTCACTAGTTCTAACATGAGGGCCCTACCTTCATGATCTCATCTAAACCTAATTACTTCCCAAAGGCCTCCTTTCTAAATACAGTCACATTGCGGGGTTAGGCCTTCAACATATGAAATTTTGGGGAACAAAATTCAGTCCATAGTAGAATCTATCTTATAGAAATAACATCTATATGTAATCAATTAGCTCACTGATTGAATTAGGTGGATCACGTGGTGCTACTAAAAAATGTTTTATAGCTTCAAACATGTTTTATTAGATCTCCCATTTTTAAAAGTTAATGGACATATCCATTAACTTTCTTATTCATTTTAATTTTAAAAACAAGCCATTATTTTGTATTACGATTCACTTTCAATCCAATTAAAACACTAATTTCACTTCTTAAGCTTATACTCTTCTCCAAGGGAACCTATAGTGGGGAAGCTGGCATAATCTTTTTTTTTTTTTTTTTTTTCCTATGTTCCTTCATCTTCTCTTTCTGCTCCAAGCTTATCTTTCTATCTTGGCAGTTGATTTCCTCTCTCATGACATCCAAATAAGTAGGGCACTTTGGTGGGCCTTTAAAGGGTCCTGCAAGATCTCTGCCATACAGTTTCATGATATTGGTGATACAATTTCTGGCTGACCACTTTTGATTCCCCTTCAGTTATTGCTTCTAATCACTTGGAGCCATTCGCCCAAGCAAATAACTCTCTTGGGTAGGACCCTATCCACGTAGAGTCCAGCTATCTCCTACCATGATTTGCTGGCCTGGATGTCAGTTATTTTCCAGAAAGGCTCAGAGCTGATAATTAGCTCACAAGTGGCCCGAAGAAATAGCAGTTTGTCTCCACTCACATCTCTAAGCTCCTCTGCTCTCTGTCTCATTCATGCCCAAGACAGGCATGCTCCTGCTTCATAACCTTAAATTGAATTTCAACATTTAAGGCAACACTAGCGTTTTAAAATTGTGTTTTAATAAGTCAATTGGGGTAACATGGGTTAATAACATTATATAAATTCCAGGTGTACAATTTTATAATACATCATTGTGTACTCGCCACTCAAAGTCTAGTCTCCTGTCATTGCTTTACTAGTATCAAACACCTAATCTTACTAATTTTCTTGACCTGTGACTAAATATATTAGTATTTAAAAAAAAATACTCAATACTTGTAATTACAAATAGTATTTAAGTATGTTTAATCAATATTTTAATTCAATAGTTGTATTCTATGGTTCCTTAAAGATCTTTGTCTGCTTTTTTCTCTTTTCATTTTACAAAATATAATAAATTATTTAAATATAATAAAAAAATAAATCAAATATTAATGTTAAAAGTTATACTGGTGTAAAGTTGCAAAAAAACTTTTTTTGTTAACTCCAGTGGCATACCACTGGAAAAACTGTTCCCTAAAATCATAGACTATGAGAAACTTTGCTTTTCCAAGTAATATTAGTGAGATGGGAATATCCCCATAATTCTTGGAGAACTGAACTGTGCAGTCACTTTAACACAGCAAAGCAGCCTCGATTTCCTACCCAGGTGCAAAGCTTCAGATAATATGTTTTCAGACACAAGATTCCCTATTTGTCTTAACTTTGTAGTTTCCAAGGGAACAAGACTCAGCCCACTTCTCAATCCATCCCTGATGTTAACCAGCCCTGCTTTGCTTTCAGTCTATCAAAGAACTATTCATTTAAATTTTACTTAAACTCCAACTTGCCCCTAAACCGATAAGAACACTGGCTTCCTTCCTTTGTTTTGGTGAAATGCCCTGTAGTTATAGTGATATGGAATCTCTTACTTCAGCAAATTAATAAACATAACTTGGTCAGACTATGGTTGTGTCACAGTTTGGTGGTCTTTGAGAAGATTTATTAATTATTTCTGAATAACTTTTTCTGTGCCCAGCACTCTCAAGGACATTTAAAAAGACACACCAACCACATGGACGGATGGAAACCAGCAGGTAACTGAGTATTATAAAGACTCCCTCGAAGCTGCGTAAGTAAGCAAAGAGAAGAAAAATAAGTAAAGGAGAGATTAATTTTTTATCTCCCTAATCCTCTGAGTCCCTTTATTATTTGACTCTAATTTATGTTTCACTCATATTCACCTTATGCTACAGTAAAGTTGAACTATTTACATTTTCTTGAAGACACATATTCTTGTTTCTGTATTTAAATATATTGCATATGCCACCACCTTAATGATAATTTTCTTGATCCCTGTCTAAATGTGACCTTTCCTTTGATTTCCTATATACTTAATTTTTTCTGGTAGGATACTTACAGTTTTTTTTTTTTTTTTGTATTATAGTTATTTGTAAGTTTGATTAGATTATAGACTTCATAACGATCTCTTACCTGAAATGTTATAATAGCCTTCTAATCAGATTCCTTACTTTCACTCTACATACCCTGCAGTCTGCTCTCCTCATAGTAACTAGTGTGATTTTTGAAAAACATGAATTTAATCATGTTACTTCCCTGTTTGAAAATTTCAGTTAGTTTCCCACCACACTTAGAATAAATCTAAAGTCCTTATCATGTTCTCTAAAGCCTTTCTGGTACTTCTATGATCTTATATCCTACTACTCTGTTTCTCGTGTACTCCCTTTTAGCCATTTTGCTGCAGGGGTGTGTGGAGGTGGTGATGTGGAGGCACAGAACTAAATACATAATCTCTTCTAATGGCCTTTGCTATTTCTCACTGTAACATTCTTCTTCCAGATGCTCACATCCCTCACATTTATGCAGTTTCTATTCAGATGCCCTGTCCTCAGAGAGGACTTCCATGACTGCTCATCACTAATCATTTAACTTATCTTACGAATGTCTTGGCATATAGTAGCCTAGAAATTATATATTAATGCTTGTGTGTGTGTGCATGCATGTGTATGTTTATGATTTAAGCTCTATAAGATTAGAGTCTTTTCTTGTCTCTGCCTTGTTTACTTCTTTATCTGCAGGCCAATAAGAGTAACTGGCACATTATAGGAGGTTGAATGAATGACTGTTGTCCAATAATAATATTTACCTTGCTTGCATATATCAAAGTTTAAGTTTTACATTCAAAGGTTGTTAAAAGCACAAATTTTGGAATGAAACTGTGTTTATAGTCCTGTTCTGCTGTATGACCTAGAGGAAGTTACTTAACCTCTCTGCCTTGTTTTCCGATCTGTAAAATGAAGACACTGTCTACCTCATAGGTTTGTTATGAGTATTAAATGAATCTGGCACAGAGCTGTTATATTTGTTGTTATTTTTATACTTAATTAGTGGTTATTTGAAAAATATCTATCTTCTCCACTGGATTTTTAGGAATCATATTAATTTTCCCCCAACATTGTATCTTAAGACCCCAGTTCATAATAGGAACTCTAAATTATTGTTGGAAAAAAAAAAAAAAAAGAACAGTTTAAGTTTTGAGGTGATGAAATACATGCATGTTTGTGTACCCTGAACACATTCCCATATTCTGTAGTTGTCAGTCATTGTCACTAGATGGCAAGCTTGTCCTAGGCAAGGCACCCTCATAAACTGAAGAATGAGGGCAGAGGGTGGGAGAAAATGTCACATATATGTTTTTTAGGCTAATAGAATGATAGGAAGATGAAAGTTTAATCATAAAATAAGATTTGCCTATATTTTATTCTTCTTCATTCCATTGCGTGCTCTTCCTTCTGAGTAGCTGATCTTTTATATAGTGATGTATTTTTAGAATTTCTATCATTCTACTAACACCTTGTTACATTATTCATAATTTTCTATTAAAAAACAACATTTAGAAAGGTCTCTTATAGTATTTATTATTCACAGGAGTTTTCTAATTCTTTCGATCTCAAACCGTTTACCTGTTAGTTTTGGCTAGGACATGAGGTACTCAATATCTTATACTCTCTATTATTTATTTTTTGTCTTTGTCTTTTTCTTTTCTGTTCTGATTATTAGTCATTCAAATTGATGTGAAGCACATGTAATTTTTTGTTCTCTTTCAACTCTCAATATACCATTTTGGGAAAAGAAAATGTTAGGTTCAATGCTATTGTGCCTAATTGCACCTTTGTTTAGCAAAATTACCAACGGGAACCTGGAATAAAAAAAGAGAAAATGTTGAAGAGCCTACAAATTAGATAACTTATAAATGATTAAATTTTTTGGATTCTGAAAATTGATTTTATAAATATCAATTAAAATTGATTAAACTTGTATATTTGCTTTGGTAAATTAAATTTACCAAAATATAGTCAAAATGTGGACATGTAAAAGTGAATAATAATACTTTAAGATAGTGGTAATAGTTTTCATTATAATAATGTTTAGAAGTCTAATTATTTTCTTATTTATTTTTTGAAAAAGAATAACTACTTAAAAAGTAGACTTAGAAAAACGATAATGTATTTCTTAAAATTCTTTTTTGCTTTGTGCCGTGATATAACATATTATTGGCTTAAAAAGAGAAACTTGGTTAATTTTCTCTCAACTGCTGAAGAAAAGATTTCTTCATTGTCTCTGCTTAGTAAGAAAGGTAATTATCTACCACTTAATTCTCTTCTTAATTAGAATATCTTAAAATGAAAGAAATATAAATTATTTATTTGTTAATATTAACTTTTCAAAAGTTAACCCAGATCTTGCTACCATTAGCACTGTTGGCAGGAATTCTGATACTGCCAACTGATGTTGATAGTCTTTCTCAGATAAATGATTCAAAGTGGAAAAAAGTGTTCAGTGACAACGATTTATTGTATAATGGGAAAACTTGTAGTATGAATTCTGAATCTTGATAGACTTCTGCCTTGTCTCTATTTCCTCTACCCTATTCCCAACTTTTCTTTCAAACCTGACTTATAAAATTATTTTATATTTGACTTCAGAGAGGATTCATGAGTTGAGCTATCATAGTGAGAATGCATCCTCCAAGTAAAATTTTCAAATGTATTACTGTCCCACAAATAGCCCGTATTTAGTCTCCCTAAGAATTCATTTTTTTTCAAAGACTGGAACAGTTGAAATTAATAATACGTTACTATTTTCCAAAGATAACGCGTATTTATTGTTGAAACTCTATAATGATTAGAAAATGAAAGAAAGAAGAAAACATAAACCCATCAACTATTGATTAACTCTGTTAACAATTTAGTATAATTCCTTCTACTCCTTTATCTACCTATATTATACACGTGTATGTATAAAAATTGAATATTGTCATTCATATTACTTAGTAATTTTTAATAATGTACTGCAAATATCTTTTTTGTGTGATTATACATTGTTCTTCAAATCATGTTTTATAGAATCTCAGTGCATAGATTTAACTAATTCCTTTATTATTTTTCTTTATTATGTTGTAAAATATATAGTATTAGTATAAAAGTAGATGGATACACATGAATCCAATACCTCACTTTCAAACAAAAACATTACCTAACAATGATCATTCTACATCATTATATTTCCCAGTGTAAAATAATACCACGTGAGGAAATTACAGTTGAACAATCTAGATTGGGCTCCGGCACTCATAGTCCTACCCCCGTAGAGTCTCTCCAACTGTGTGAGGTCAATTTTTTCCTCCTCGCCTTTATCCAGTGCTTTGTTTTGATCTATCCCTTATGAGTAACTGTTTGAATAAGAATACAAAAACATAGATATTATATCTCCTCCAAATAGTTTTAGAGACATTGTGTTAATCCAAAATTAGCAAAGATCCATTTTCATAAAAGAAACAATCAACATTATTGTAGCTCGTCTCAAAGGAAGTATTTACAATATTATACATAACAATTAACTTTTTAAACTTTTCATTCCAGAATAGGATCTTTGCTTTACCTTCTTATAATCAAAAGTCCCATTAAAATAATTGTTATCCACTGCTAGAAAAAAGGAAAGATGAGCTTAAAGGTTTCTTCTGCTTGTAACAATCAAGTTTTTAAAAAGCTTTATTTTTAGATAGTTTTTAGCTAGATTGTATATTAGTTTATTAAGTCAGAGAAAATAGCTATTTCTTAAGAATAAAAAAAAACTTATTCTCTTATGGGGTAATTTTTATGGTATATCTAAATAGAAGTCTAGCATTTAGTCAGTGTTTACTAAATGAATGATTTTGGTCAGTAGAATTATTCAGCAATACCTCAATTATCTAAAATTAAGCAAACTGGCAACCTATTTTATGTAAAATGAAGCCCAGACCTCCCTCCCCCATCAAAAAATATTTGCAAAAGTCTCTTAATACTTATATGGGGAACTTGCTCTCCACTTTGCCATTTCTTAACCATGAGGTTTGAACTGAGTTACCCCTCTTTACTTCAGGGCTAGACTTGTTGGTTTGAAGCAGTCGTGATCTGGCCACTGAGCTTCTTTCACAGGTGAGCAGAGAGCCAGTTTAATCAAAAGAGTAAAGCCAAAAATTTATCCTGTTGCAGTTTTGCATCTGCCCTAAGATAGATTTACCTTTACATTGTTCTTTTAGCCAGTATCCCTCCTTTTTTTGTGACATCCAACTTTGTACATTTCCTGTAAGTTGCAACCAAAAGAATTCTAACTGATAGATTCAATTATTTATAGGTGATTTCTTGAGTTCTTTATTCAGATACCTATCTTTATGAACAAAATCTCTATTTTGTAGTTTTTAAGTAAACAGAGAAACAAAAATTCGAAGGAAAAGGATTGGCAGGCCCACTGCCATTAGTCAGCCATGCAGTCAACCAGTGCATGTTTATTAAACTTATCAGACTGAAAGTTTATGTGATAGTGGACCATATTTTCCTTTGTATATCTTTGTCCTCAGTTCCTTGGGTAATTTCTTGCGCATTGTACCTGCTCCATTAGTATCTAATGAATAAATGAATAATGTTAATTAAGGGCATTATGACTTAATAGGGAAAATTCTGGATTACTGTTGACTGAAATATTTGATAATTGAAGAAAAGCAGTTTTATATTTGAGATATTGAGCTACAGGTAGGCATAAATGGGTAAGGAAAAACTTATTCTATG